GCCTCATCCAACCTGGCCTTGAACCAACCAGTCTTGGTGAGGGAAGGAACCTTAACTGTGACTTCCCATTTTCTGCATTTAAGAGACTTGCAGACAGAGCTACTCTGATTTATTTTTTTTTTTAAGGGCACAGGCAATTAATTCTACACCAACTCTTGTGTGGCAGCAAGTACAAATAAAAAAGTGTTAAAAACAGTGTGGTTCTTTAGTAAAATTAGGTTTGTTATTTTCAAGGTCTAGGTTGAAGAAGGACTATGATGACTTTAAAAGACATCCAGACCATGATAAATTTACCAGAGAATTGTGGAGTAATGATGAAAGTGAAGCTGATTCTGGCAAAGATTCTTCTCCCGTAGTATGTGGAAAATCTTCAGAGTCTTCAGAACATGGGGAAGTTCCCAAAAAAGACCACCCAGACAATGGTAAGTGCTTATTTGATGATAATTTGATAGCTTGAAATTGATTCAGGAGCTTAATTTTTCCATGTGAGCTTGTGTCCTACTTTTTACCTTAAATACTACTGTGATAGTATTGAAATAGCTTGTGATGCATGTCTGATGGTTGTAGACTAGAAGGTGGCAGACATGACCAAGATGGAAATTCTGGTTAATGCAAGTTTTTTCCTTTTTTGCCCTTAACTATTTCTGTGATAACATAGTAGGCATGCTCAGAATTTACGTTTATGGTGGGTTGACCTTGACTGGCTGCCAGACACTCAGCCACTGTGTCACTCCCCTTCCTTAACAGGACAAGGAGAGAAAATAAGATGGGAGAGCTCAAGGTACAGACAGAGAGATCATTCACCAGTTATTGTCACAGGCAAGCCAGGCTCACTTGGGGAAAATTAATTTGATTTATTGCCAAATACAAGTAAAGTAGGATGGTGAGAAAGACAAAACCTGAAACACCTCCCCACCGCCCACCCCATCTCCACCTTATTACCAGGCTCAACTTCATTCCCAATTCTACTGCCTCCCCTGTCAAGTGGCACAAGGAGGATGGGGATTGGGGGTTGAGGTCAGTTCATAACACTTCCTCTCTGCTGTTCCTTGCTCACACTTTTGCCCTGTTCTAGTGTGGAGTCCCTCCCATGGGATACAGTCCTTCACAATCTGTTCCAGCCTGCGTGTTCTCCGCAGACTAGAGTCCTTCAGGATGAGACTGCTCCAGTGTGGGTCCCTCATAAGCCACAGTTCTGTCTGGGGCCTGCTCCAGTGTGGGCTCTCCATGGGCTGCAGCTTCCTTTAGGGCATATTCATGTGCTGTGGAATGGAGTCCTCAACAGGCTGCAGTGTTGATACCTGCTTCAGCGTGGTGCTCCATGGGAGAGGATCAACCTGCTTCACCATGGTCTTCATGGGTTGCAAGGGAATCCTTTCCAGTACCTGGAGCACCTCTTAACCCTCCTCCACTGACGCTGGCGTCTACAGGGTTGTTTCTCCTCCATTTTTTTGTCACTCCTCTCTGTCACGCTCTTCTGCGCAACATTTTCCATGAGGCATCACCAGCTTGGCTGACGGTCTCAGCAGTGTCTTGCAGTGGATCTGCTTTGGAGCAGGCTGTGTCTGGCACAGGACAGCTCCTCGCCTCTCCCCACTGCAGCCCCTCACTGCCAAAACCTTGCCAAAAACCTTGCCAAAAACCTCGGTGCACGGCCCCTCTGCCCACCTGGCATCCCTGCCTGCATCCTGAACCCTCCTGTCCACTTCACGTGTACCCTGCTTGCTGGCTGGTCCAGCTCAGTGCTCAGTATGAAATGTGTGGCACTCAGACCCTTGCCCACAGGCACCCCACGCTCACAAGTCCCCCTGACAGGCCAGCCCAGACCTCAGGGCTCCCTGCTCATCAGCTAGTCCGGCTTGAGGTTTGCCAGGGAATGCACACTGCCTCCACGTGCACAGGGTTTGGAGAAAATGCAAACAAACACCCCTCGGCAGCCAGCAGCAGGCACATGGGCTGTGTCCTTGCAGCTCCTCCTTCCTGTACACATCCCTTCATGGGTTTGTAGAGCTCTACTGATTCCCTCACCCCTCCCAGCCCAATGTCCAGGATCTTCCCTGGTTTACAGTCATATCAGTTGCAAAGTTGAGGTTGATCTTACTGGAAGGAGCACCTGCAATTTCATGATAGCCCGTCAGTTGTTGTGACTGCTGAGGTTGTTTCTTGTCATTGTTTCTATGTTTGTTTTGTTAGATCTGTGACTCTGTATAATTTTTTTTTCCTAGCTTCTCATTTCTCCCCTTATTTTCCCGATTAACCAAGTCGTTGATGAGATGACCTTGCTGGAATAAACATTCTCATGCTCTCACGTGCCTTTGCCAATTACTGTGAATGGCCAGGCTTGATGTTCCTCACTGTCTCCCTTGCCAGTTAGGTTTTTGTCCCTGTATGTTCTTGTTTATGTTTTCCTCCTCTCCTTATTTTACCCCTTTTTGCATTGAAAAAGGTCCTTGACCAGATGCACTTAAAGAAGCAGAGCTTCTCCCACGTGTCCTTACACTTGCAAACTAGCATTTTGCCTTTGGCTAGATACTGTAAAATTGTTATATAGTGGTATCAGTTGCAAACATGTAAAATGCAGTTTCTGTTTTAATATTCTTGCAGATGAAATGAAACTATTAGAGATGAATTTGCCTGCAGGAAAAAACAAAATTCTGAAAAAGGAATCGACTTCTAAAGAAATACAGAAGACACTGCCCAAATGTGTTAAACGTCAGGCCAAGCAAAATAGTTGTCTGGATCAAAGCACTAATGAGCTTTCACCAAGAAAGAAACCTAAGTTGAGCACTAATGAGGCTGTGGTCCAGAGTTCAGAAGGTAGCCTGCAGCCAGACAGATGTTTGACTGAGCTGAAACAATTTGAAGGGTCAGCTCTGGAATTGTTTTCCTTAATAGATCCTGCAACATCAGTACCAAACTTTCCAAAAGGGACCAAACCCATCCAGGCCTTGCTTGCCAAGAATACTGGGAACAAAGTGACCTTAACAAATCACCTGTCACCTCCCCCAGCCATAAATGTATCTACTTCTGAAAAGCCAGTTTTAGCGCCGTCGGAATCATCACTGTTAAAACCAGCATTGCCCTGCCAGACCAGTTCAAAGACTCCTTTACAAATGGTATACAAAATGCCAAATGGCCACTGTGTACCAATAGACCTTAACAACAGCTCTATGAAAATTCAGATGCAACCTGTGATTGACCCTAAAACTCGAGAAAAAGTAATGCAACAAGTTCTTATTTTACCTAAGAATTTTCTTATTCAGCAGAAGGAGGGAAAAATTGTGTCCAAGGACGTTCAGTCACTACAACAAAAGTCGTCTGAGCTGCGCTGTACAAATTTACCAGAAATGTCACATGTCAGCGTTTCTTTAACACCTGTTGTGGTAACAGGCCCTGCAAATGCCACCAGTCAGTCACCTAGTACAATTTTTAACAGCAGTATTACCCACTTGTCACAAGCGACTGGTCTCTTGAACTCTACACAGCCATTGCCTGCTGTAACTTCAGCAGGCAGCTTGTTATCATCAATGATTACGGTGAGCCAAACGGAAACTGACAAAACCAAGACTACAGTTTCAACTGCCGCGTTCCCTGTGTCTTCAGCTTCACCTAGTCTTTCCACAGCTAGCCAGTCTTTGATAGCAGCAATAAGTGGGTCTACCAACACTGCTTCTGCATGTCATAGTCTTGCATCACAGCAGACAGCCGACTCCTTTGAAGCTAGGCAAGAGCTGAAGACGATGTGTATAAGAGAATCACAATCTATCCTGGTCACAACACGGGGTGGAAACACAGGAATTGTTAAAGTGCAAACAAACCCAGACCAGATTTCACCTAGTAGTTTATCTTCTAGTTCAGTTTTCACTTACGCGCCTCAACTTCAGGCCTTTCTTGTGCCCAAAACCACAGGATTATCATGCTCTACTCTTCCATCTGTAGCAACAGCCACGTCTGGTCTCCCACATATTGGACAATCGTCTCGTTCTGGATTTGCCCCTTCAACAGCTGCTTCTGTTAACGTTCCAGCTTTCCCAGCTGATTCTACCCAGGCAATGGAGAAGAATATCAAATTCGCATTACAGCAGCCTGCTGTTGGGGGCACTCTGGGTCAAGTAATAGAGAACTCCTGCTACGTGTCTGCTTCTTTATCCTCCATTTCATTAGCTAGCAATTTGATGTCAGCAACTCCGAGCAGTTCTGCTAGCATGACTAGCACTGGACAAAATAACACTGTCATAACTCCTAATTCTTCTATGCAGCAACAAGGTGATACTACAGCTAAAACAAATCCTGCTATACAATCTGAGTATAATTCAGCAACAGATGGAGATTTGATCGGTAGTGCTCCAGTCCAGAAACTTACATTTGTCACAAATCCACCTATTTTATCTCCCTGTGGGTCATCAGGGGTCAGTATTATACCCTCTCCAGCATCCGCTGGTGTTAATGCTCAGAAGTTGGTTTTCATTAACACACAAATTGCCAGCGGCCCATCAACCACCAGTCTCGTTTCAGAGTCATTGAAACATAACATTCCTTCTTCCCTGAGCAAAGCCCTTGTTAGTGCCACAGAGCAACCGCAGTTGGTTCTGATCGCATCTACAGTAGCAGCACCAATAAAAATAAACTCATCACCAACTATCGCTCAAGTGAAAGATGTGAAAATTGGACTAAATATAGGTCAAACCATTGTAAATAGTAAAGGCAGTGCACAACAGGCCCCACCAGTTAACATATTGCACTCTGCCGTTTCTAAGGGAGAAGAGAAAAAGAGCATGGGCTTGGCGCTGTCTTTGACAAGCAGTAGTGCTGTGGTTCCTGTTCCAGGTTTTGTGAGTCAAAGTGCTGTGTCAGTTAATGAATCTGGGTGCGTTGCAACAAAAGCTGAAAATGCCTTTGCAGTGACAACAGCAAATGCATGTGTAGAATCTGTTTCAGTAACATCAAGTGGGACGTCTGGGACACAGCCCACTGTTTTGATTGGTGGGAATGATCCCGCAAGAATAAGGCCAGTTCTGGGTAACCGACTGTGTACATCAAATGTTGGAAATGCTGTGGGTATATCAACTGTGAAAACAGGACATCTTGCTTCATCTGTGCTCATCTCAACAACACAACCGACAGTATCTCCTCTAAACGTAGCTTCTGCGTTGCAGTTTCCAGTCATTAGCTTGCCTGGGTCTGTAGCTACCCCCCACAAAGTGTCACATACAGTTCCTCAGTTGGCAGCAGCTCCAGCTCCTCTGCCGGTACCAAAAAGCCAGTTTCCCACCCTGCTTCAGTTTCAATCGGGAATTTCAGCTGCTGTGCCAAATAATGCAGCTGTTCACAAACCTCAGAATGCATTGCCCCCTTCATCACCGAATACAGGTAAAGTCATTAGTTTTCCCAGTTTTTCTTCCCTGCAGTGCCAGCAGGTGCCTCCCGGTACAGAGAAACAAAGTCATACTTATGCTAGTTCTACCGTTCAGATGTCTGCAGCTTCGCCAACTGTACCAAGCAAGGCGGGAGGTCAGTTGAATGAACCTTGCATTCAACAGAAAATAGTCATTAACACCTGTATGCCTTTGGCACCTGGAACTCAAATAGTGATTAATGGTACTTGTTTTGTTGTTCCACCACAAGGCCTTGGAGCTGGCAGCCATGTTCTTCTTCTCTCTTGTAATACAAAACAGACTCTTCCTTTAACTGTTAACCATGGTCAAGAGACTCAAGGTGTACCAACTGTTAACCCAACAACCTCGAAAATCATGCTAGCACCAAGTAGCTCATTAAGTTGGCAAATATCAAAACATCCTTTGAAAAGCTCTACAAAGATTGTGAACTCTTTTGGGTCTGCAGATGCTTTACCCATCGTACATGCAACACCCCAGATATTTAGTACTCCTGCTAGCTCGTGTACTCCACTGTCTACTGCAACACTGACTGTGTCTTCAGTGGTAAAATCTCCTGTTAATGTTGCAGCCACGTCTTCTGTGGTTTCTGCCATTCGTCCTCCAAACTCTCATTTAGCAAGCAACAGTTCAGTGTTTCACTTAGACACCTCTATCAAAAAACTGTTGGTGAGTCCAGAGGGAGCCATTTTAAATGCTATAAATACTCCAGCATCAACAGTTTCTTCACTGTCTTCATCACTGCCTCCTGTTGTTGTGTCCACAAGCAGGAATTCTACCACTGTCTTCCCTGCATCTCAGTCATCTCGCCTTCATAAACTTGACAAAGCTGCATCCTGAATTTACTGCAAATGAGCCACTTCAAGATTTTGGGGCATTCTTCTGACTTTGGAAGTTGTAACTATTGAATAATTTCTTACATCGTTTGAAACAGTTGATTTACTCAAAATTACCTAAGATGACAGTTCTTTCCTGTTTACCTGTTGGGCACAGGAGGAAGAAAAATTTATTTAGAGAAGACATGTTTTCAGAGAGTTCTTTAGAAGAAAGGTCAGAAATGACCAATGAGTTCGTTAAACATTTTATGTTAGAGAAATGTAGCCCTTTGCACATGTTCCATCTTACAGTATGGACTGTTTGCCAGTGTGTTTATGACAGTACACATCTCCTTTTTATTTGTCAATTTTATTTTTGATTTGTTTCTGTAAAAAAAAATATATTTATGCATTGTAAAAATGCAGTCTATGGTATAGAATTGTACATATTCATGACTTCCTAACAATCTGTACTAAACTATATGTACAAAGAACTATGCTGTCTTATTTATGTTTTGTTTACATAATGTATAGTTTTTTAAGTATTTTAGTAACTTTGGACCAGTGTACTGTTTAGCAACGATGCAGAAGAATCTGCATATAATAAATCGAGTTGCTGTACTGCTTTGTGTTGGCAATAGTTTAAAAATGTGTGTATCTGTTACACCATGGCAGAATACATATATTTACATCTTCCTACGTAATGCAGCTGCATCTCAGCTTTTGGAATATAGTAGAATGAAATTATTTAATCTCTTCTGCTCTTCTTTGTGGTTTAGATTTCACGTGATTTGATAGGAGTTAGAAGGAGTGCCATCTTGTTGATCGTACTGATAGAGAGCAGGATAACCCGTGCTTCATCCATTCTTAATAAATGTTTAGTTCTGTTGGCTAAAATCTCCAGTGATGTGGTAAGGCTAGAAACGGTTTCCCGGACATCGGTCTAAGTCGCACTGGTTGCTGTTCAGGATTACCATGTTTTGTCATAAAGCTCACAGATCTACTGAACAGTTCATTATCTCTTTTTTTACAGCCTTGTATGTATTTCCACATATCTGGTAACTAACAAGGTCACTCTTTAATCTTCTGTCTAGCCGTGACAAGCTATCCAAATTTTTCACCAGTTACGCTTTCTAGATCTGTATTTTTTTCTTTAGCTTTTAATTGGTCTATCTGGAAGGATAGAGCTAAAACATTTCACAGTATTAAAGGAGGCCTTATTAGTGCTTTGGGTGGGAATAATGCACGTGTTACTTAAACCTTCCCTTTTTATGCAGTGTATTCAATATTTGTTGGCCTAGGCTCAGCTTTCGATCTGATAAAACCCTTGGGTTGTTTCCTGCAGATCAGCTGAGTTCACAGGTGCCCATTGCAGTGTTCACGGAAATAGAGAATTTTTTATGTGTGTTTTGAGACTTAGCATATAAAGAAAGGGTGCCTGTCTAGCTAGCAGCTCTTATTTTATGGAAGATGATGATTTCAGGAGTGCTATTTCAAAATCTGAAGTTGTAGTCTCTTTTAGTTGCTTGGAAGATCCAGTCTTACGCTGAACATCTTCGTATGCGTGGGATTTTTTTGTTGCTTTTTTTTTTTTTTAATTTTTAGATATTAGAAGGGAAGAGATCAGGTTAGGAAAGCTAAAGCCCTGATAGAATTAAATCTGGCCAGGGACATCAAGGGCGACAAGAAGAGCTTCTATAGGTATGTTGGATAAAAAGCAAGCGAGGGAAAACATGGGCCCTCTCTGGAAGGAAACAGGAGACCTGGCTACCCGGGATATGGAGAAGGCTGAGGTTCTCAGTGACTTTTTTGCCACAGTCTTTGCTGGCAAGTGCTCTAGCCACACTGCCCAAGTCACAGAAGGCAAAGGCAGGGACTGGGAGAATGAAGAACTGCCCACTGTAGGAGAAGATCAGGTTCAAGACCATCCAAGGAACCTAATGATACACAAGCACATGGGACCTGATGAGATACATCCGCAAGTCCTGAGGGAACAGGCAGATGAAGTTGTTAAACCGTTGTCCATCATGTTTGAGAAGCCGTGGCAGTCTGATGAAGTTCCCACGAACTGGAAAAGGGAAAATATAACCCCTATCTTTAAAAAGCTAAAAGAAGAAGACCCAGGGAACTACAGGCCAGTCAGTCTCACCTCTGTGCCCGGCAAGATCATGGAGCAGATCCTCCTGGCGACTATGCTAAGGCACATAGAAAATAAGGAGGTGATTGGTGACAGCCAACATGGCTTTACTAAGGGCAAATCCTGCCTGACTAATTTGGTGGCCTTCTATGATGAGGTTACAGCACTGATGTATAGGGGAAGAGCACCTGACATCGTCTGCCTGGACTTATCCAAAGCATTTGATACTGTCCCACATGACATCCTTGTCTCTAAACTGGAGAGACATGGATTTGACGGATGGACCACTCGGTGGATAAGGAATTAGCTGGATGGTCGCACTCAAAGAGTTGTGGTCAACGGTTCAATGTCCACGTGGAGGCCAGTGACGAGTGGTGTTCCTCAGGGGTCAGCACTGGGACCAGTGCTATTTAACATCTTTGTTGGTGACATGGACAGTGGGATCGAGTGCACCCTCAGCAAGTTTGCAGATGACACCAAGCTGTGTGGTGTTGTGGACACGCTGGAGGGAAGGGATGCCATCCAGAGGGACCTGGACAGGCTGGAGAGGTGGGCCTGTGAGAACCTCATGAAGTTCAACAAGGCCAAGTGCAAGGTCCTGCATGTCCAAGCACAAGTACAGGCTGGGTGGAGAATGGATTGAGAGCAGCCCTGAGGAGAAGGACTTGGGAGTGCTGGTGGATGAGAAGCTCAACATGAGCCGGCACCGTGTGCTGGCAGCCCAGAAAGCCAACCGTGTCCGGGGCAGCATCCAAAGCAGTGTGGGCAGCAGGGCGAGGGAAGTGATTCTGCCCCTCTGCTTTGGTCTCCTGAGACCCAACCTGGAATACTGTTTTCAGCTCTGGAGTCCCCAACACAAGAAGGACATGGAGCTACTGGAACGAGTCCAGAGGAGGCCACGGAGGGCACCTCTGCCCTCTGGAGCACCTCTGCTAAGAAGACAGGCTGAGAGAGGTGGGGCTGTTCAGCCTGGAGAAGAGAAGGCTCCAGGGTGATCTTATAGCAGCTTTCCAGTACCTAAAGGGGGCCTACAGGAAAGCTGGAGAGGGGCTTTCTCCAAGGGTGTGTAGTGATAGGACAAGGGGCAATGGCTTTAAACTGAAAGGGGATAGATTTCAATTAGATGAAAAAATTTTTTACTCTGAGGGTGGTGAGGCACTGGCACAGGTTGCCCAGAGAAGCTGTGGCTGCCTCATCCCTGGCAGTGTTCAAGGCCAGGTTGGATGGGGCTTTGGGCAACCTGGTGTAGTGGAGGGTGTCCCTGCCCATGGCAGGGGGTTGGAACTAGATGATCTCTGAGGTCCCTTCCAACCCTAACCATTCTATGATTTTATGATTTCAAAGAACTCAGGAATGTTAGTTGCCTTTTTAATAGCTATGACTTCAAAGGGGGATAAAAGCTTACGTATCTGTAAGCAGATGCATATTTAGCACTATTCTTAGACTGATTTTCTTCAGGATGAAGCTTAAGCTTTTGCTCCTCATCCTGTCGAGTTTCGTCCTTCCCCTCCCCATTTGCTACACACAGTTTAACAGTTTGGATCTTGAGTTGAAGAATAAACCCATAGCTTACTCCCTCAGTGTTGGCTGCCCTTCGTATTGTTCTGAAAAGTAGTCTGGTAACTAGTTAACTAGAGTTCTGGGAGAGAAGAAAGGCTTTCTTCTGGGGAAGAAAGGCTTGTGCCTTCCATAGGTACCTTCCTGCACTAGCTAAAAAATTTGAATTGGGAAATTACTTGTTTCTGGATCAGCAATCTCCGTCTTATCTCAGGGTTGGGAAAGATGGAAGCTGTGAGTTTTGTGGTGAGAGAAGGTTTGTTTTTATTTTTGAAGAAGCTACTTGGTACACTTTTCGTACTTTTCATTCAAGGTGTTGTGCCATTGATTTTGAAGACACCTAGTAGTAAGTGGTGTCTGCCTGCCAGAGTTCACAATATTAAGGCTTTTTAATCTGACTGCACTTTGCAATTGAATGCTGCAGGTGGCTTTTCCAGCAGTGGAGTATGGCAGAGAGTGGCAGTTTCTTCATTGATGTTTTACATACTCTAAAACCATTTGTACCAGCCACACGTTTTGTTTCCATTTCACTGATGGAACCTTGGGACTGTCTGTCTTGGATTTTTCTTTCTTCTAACAATGGCTGGTTTTCCTTTTTTATTTATGCTTGTTGTAGAGGGAGTATCTATGTTGTTTGGAAAGCTTAAGACTAGGTTCTACTCTTGCAGGTGGCCTAGATGGAGAAGAAATCTTGCATGACATTTTTCTGTGTGCTGATGTAGTAAAAAGATTTATGCTGTAATTAATTCTAATAAAGAGAAAAGTCAGAAAAGCTTTATTGGAGGACTCAGAACTCAAGCTACTTACCTGAATTATTTCTGAGACATTTTCTGAATTAATATGATAATATTTTATAATTGTTCTGCAAATATTGGCAGGCATAAACCTTGCAACATGCAAAGTTTGATTCAGTTTGATTAAAATTTTCATGGACTTTTATTCTCTACTGCACATATGTTCAGATTCCAAATCCTATTGGAGAAAGGCTTGAGACTGCTATATGATGCGTTTGCATGACTCGTTGTTTTGTAAAAACAAATTTTTGTCATTTTTGTGAATAAAATTCCTCTTCCCATCACTGTTCTCCGATCATGTAAATGTTGGTCAGAGTACGACTTTCTTTCAAATGAAAGTAAATAGCCATTAACAATTGCTACGTATCTTTTGTTCTTTGTACCAAACATATAGTGCTACCTATAGCACAAAAAACTGTTAAAAAGTAGGTTGCATTCACAGACGCAATGAAAAAGCAGAAGTACCTGCCTCTTTACCTGAAGTTCAAAAGAGGCTTAATTGCACATATAAACAAATATATATATAAACCAATCTTTGAATAAAACATTGAGCTTGTGAAATACCTTGCTTTTAGGCCGCTGCAGATACTACATGTAGATATTCAGACCCTATATTATGTACAAAACCTTGGGTTTATTTGTCACTTTCACCATTTTGGAGCGTATGTTTGATATTTACCTAAATGGTCATATTCTGCACAATAATTTTGCTTTGCACAATAGTTTTTGCTGCACAATAATTTTCATTTTGCCTCACTGTTCTGTTCAAACTCGTGAGTGTTTGTGCTGCCATTTTCTTCCAGGGGTACTGCCTCTACCATACGAGAAGCAATCACGTTTCACAAATGTTGGGAGTCATAGAGGTGTCTGTTCAAACCGAGCGTGTTCCTGTCAAGACGTTCAAATCCACTCTGATTTCGCTCTGTGACATAGCAAAGAGTACAATGCAAAAAGTGAAGCAAAAATTCTCCTGATAAGTAAGTGAAGAGAAATTATTTGTCTCATGCAAGTAGGTCAGAAAATTACCGAAAGCTGGCATTTGAAAGGCATCCATAGCCTTATCACAGAGCTTTTTTCATAGCTGGCTTTGCTTATATTTTGTGGTAGTGCAGAATGTTAGTAGCCCAAATTGATTTTAAAGTAAATTAATCATTTTTATTACAGCATGAGTGTTTGTCATGATGAGGCCGTTTACTTTAAAAAGAACAGCAGGAGGTGCTCAAAAAGGCTTGAATTCATGTAGCCTGTTCCCTGCAAGCTGCACCTGAAGTGAGTTTGCTGGCTCAAGACTAGTAGTGCTGGATCAGACTAAAGGTCCGTCTGTCCCAGCATCACGTCTCTTGGAGCAGTCCGTAGTAGCAGTCCAAAGGAGCGTACCAGCAGGTCTGAATGCTCTTCTTCATATCCACTAATCTGTGAGCCAGAGTCTTCCTCAGGCAGCTGTGATTTTTTTTCAATGTAATAGGAGCCCTCAGTGTATTTTTCTTGATGAAATTGACTAATCCTTTCTAGAAACGTTCTTGAATACGTGTAAGCTGTTACCATCCACAAGGTCCTGTGGTAAAGAGTTTCTCACGCAGCGTGTAAGTAAATCTGCTTGTTTCTGAACCTGGCACCTGCCAGTTTAATTAGGCACAAATAATGTTTATGTTGTAAGATAGAATAAGCTTTTGCTCTTTGTTTGTTTTTCCATGTTTATTTGTGTTTCCATGTAGACCTTTGCCATGTTGGTTGCCTCTTTTTTAGGATACAGAGACGCAGTCAATTCCATTATTTCTTACACGGAAGTAGCAAATTACTGTCATTGCTGTGTGTGCCTTCTTCAGTTATACTGTCTTTGGGATGTGGGATCAGAATAGTGCACGTTCTAGAAGTGCTACAAATGTATTCAGCAGTGTGACGATGAATTTTCTCTCATAATAATTATTTCAGATTTTTGGAGTGGGTTTCTGACTAGTGTTTAGCCTTGCGCTGGCATTTTTGTAGAAGTATCAGCTGTAAACCAAATACACAGCAGTGTCAAAATAAATGCAATTAATCCTGTAAGACTGTACCACTTGCAGAGTATCGTGGCTGTAAAGACCTGATCTTTAAACCAGATTATTGAAACCACTGCACTCTTTTCTCTCCGTACAGTTCCTACTTTTGTTTGTTCTCTCTCTCTTGAAAATGTAGAAGGACAAACTGCTGTAACGATTTTGAACATGATGATTTTTTAACTCTCCTTTTTTTTGTGCATAGGATACGCGTTTAAGTCTGTACATGAGGTGCACAATCATTTTGTATACATTGGCACCTAAAAAATTTTCGGTTGTTGAAGAGGCCACTTTTGCAAATGCGACACAGATTATTTTAAATTTTAATCTTTCCCTTGAAACTGCTCTGACATAAACTTTAAGATCTTGAGGAACGCAAATTTTCTTATTTTCTCAAAGTACTGAATTTGCTGATTAATAATCATACCTGGATATCTGATGTAAACTTGGAAACCAGAATACTTTGGTGTTTCATATATGATTGGTCCACAAGTTCTGCAAGAAATTGGTTTTCTCACAATATCTTTTATTGCACTCTCAACTGAACTGAACACATTAAATGGAAATGGTATGTAGAAGCAAAGTAAAGGAAACATAATTAATTGCTTATAATATTTCTTGAAATTAAGTTTATTACACAGAAAGTGTATTCAAATGTCCCTAAATGTGGTTTTCCACCTTTTGCAGATGAAGACAATCAAGTACAGAGTTCTCGTAGCAACATGGAAGAACCAGGAACAGGAACCTTGGTCCCCTGACTCCTCTTCCAGTCTCCCATCCATAACTAAAGGTTAGACAACTAGATTATTGCTCTATTTTCCCCTATTCTTGCTTTTTGCAAAGAAGAAAAATCAACTAGAAAATGAAATTGTTTTCAGGAATGTGAGTGACACTGACAGGTAGCGTTTATTAGAACTACACAGGGTAGGAAAACAGGACAGGAAAAGAACCACTATAACTGTGGGTTTTGTGATTGTCTTCAGGCTTTAGAGCTTTGCTTGTCAATATTGACGTCATAAAAGAGACAATATGCTTCTTTAATGAGTTGTTCATATTGATTCCTTCTAGGAAGTGTACAAGTATAAGATCAGACTATTTTGGCTATCTATGGGTCATGGACACCTAACAGCAGCATACACATTGAGATCCTGCCCATATAACGTGCTGGTATTTGTGGAATCATTCCTCACTCCCTTTTTTTTAATCACATGCAGCAGTAAAATAGAATATCAAAGAGAGATTAGTGATTGGGTATTACTATGTAGTCACAGAGTGTCTTGGTTATAATAAGGAAAGAGTGGAATTATGATGGAATCAATTTGCACAGTATAAAAAGCAGGTATTTTTAGCATTATATTCAATTTTAGCTACTGGGAATGAGGAGTTGCTTGCGTCTTTTTATGAAAAGCCTTGTCAATTCATATTAGCAACATGCCAATACTAAAATTACAATAGTCTGTCTGAGGTTTGTCTGGCCAGCATTCCACAGCTCAGCTACATGTGATGCCTTCTAAAATATTGTTCTTGCCTGCAGAGTGCTTTTCTGCAAGGTGGTCTTAGAAGAACCTTGGATAGACAACACAAAAATTGAGAGAGGCCTGTCATAAAGTGTTTTTCTTCCATGGCCTAAGAAATTGATGCAAAAACATAACCTTTTGTTGAAAAACAGCCCATATTTGAAAGTGAGTTTCTCACTCTGGCACATGGAATGGAAGTGATACGGCTGGTACAGCAGTCCCACCCTGGCATGAGCTGCACCTTAGACTGGGCATTTATCTCACTGCAGTTGTCAGTAGAGAATGCTGAGCAGAGAGAACAAGAAATAAGTCAAGTATGAGTTAATTTTCCCCAGTAGGTATACACAGCCTCCAACAGTAATTCCAGGAGAATTGTGTGAACTCAGCCTGGACTTGTCCGTGGCGTGAAAAGAACAGATTTTGCAGCCAGAGAATCAGGTACTGGAAAAAAAGGAGCAGTAACTTAAGAGAAGCAGAGTGGAGAAAACGATGGACGTAAAAGCATAAAATTTCTTCTCCAGTTTAAGAAATGGTAGGAGAGGTGCATGAATCCTGCTAAAAAGCAGAAGTTTTGAACAAGGAATTGACTGTGAAATACCATTGTTGTCCTTCCTGTTGGTGAGGCCAAAACCCAAGAGGTGTTGAGCATGTTGTCTGCATGTCCTGGGGGTTAAAATGTAAAGACAGACTTCTTAAATCTGTGTTGACAACCAAAAGTGTTCAGGAAGAGATTTCTGGAGGTACAGAAATAGGAGCAATTTATGACAAAGTAGGCATCTGATACCTTTTAATCCTTGCAAGGATGTCTCTACAGGAGATGAATGTTCAGGGAATATTCACACTTACCATGTGATTTTGTTGTTTTACTGCAAATTCTGAAGCGGTTCCAAGATTTTTCTGAATATAGTTACTAGATGACAAGTCTGAAGTTCCTCCTGCAAACAGCTGCAGACAGCAAATGTAGCACTGAACGGTGTCTAAAAGCAGCAGCTGTTTTGCTCCTGAGTTTCAGTAAAGAGTTACTTGGGGTGTAAGTGATGGTGTGCAGAAACAGAAGTCAGTTAGTTCTGCCAAGGTAAATGGGAAAGGGCAAACTGACAGACATTGAAAGATTAGACCTTTTTTTTAGAAAATGCTTTTCAACAAAAATGAGCCAGTTCTTTTCCCTAATAGCTACAGGAATACAAGAATTATAAGGTAAATTCAAAAAGAATTGGGAAAAAAGGATGCTTTTCTGTGTAAGCAGAGAACATATTGAGCATGCAGCAGAGCAGTCTGTTTCTCCCATCCAGAAATGGAAGCTAGCAGAGTTAAAAAGACCTTACAAAATTAGTATCGAAAGACTGAAGTATTTTGTATTAGGCCATCTCTCTTTGTCCAGTACTGGATTGTACTGGACTTGTGGTGTACCTCTCAGGAAAGGAGCAAATAAAGCACGTGCTCCAAACGAGTAATTGGGGCTATACTAAAATGCTTTAGAAATGTGAAGAAGACCCACCTGCTGCTCAAGCGTTGTTCAGGTTTTGGCCCACGGGAGTCCAGCAAGAGTGTAGTTTACCACTGTCACATGGCAAGAATTTTCTGGGGAACTAGAGAAGGCAATAACTGTGGCTTGTATCTTAAGTGTCAATAGTGCTGTCACAGTGGATTCTACATTCTGCCTTTTTTGTCCTTGGTAAAACAGGGCCCAGTAATCTCCGGTTCTCTTTTGATGAGTGAAATTGAGAGATGGTTCAGGGTGGATGAGAATGAGATGGTTGAGGATCTGTCCTTCATGTTCCCATGAGCACAAGGCATCTAGGAACACTGCTACCTGCAGAAATGTGGTCTTTTTCATTGACCCATGTCGTGTGTGCATTGAGCAGAACCTATGTGGACAGAAAGTCTCGAAAAGCTTGATTTTTGCAGCAAGGGAAGTAGTAGTTCTCTCTGTTCATCAGAAACCAAGCTGCCTTTGAGCCAAGGATTTTCTGGGGAAAGGGGGTAAAGTGAAAATGGGAGGATTGTGTAAGAATGTGGAATACAGAGGGTCAATTCCAAAAAGTGCACGAGGGCTGGTTTTTTAGCTGTCTGCATATGTGAGATGTGTAGATAGTAGCTGTAGATAGCTTTTTTTGACGGTATACTGCTGCTAGTTTACCTTTTTTACCGTCTATAAAGTTCAATGCATATGTGTGGCCAGAAGACAACACTGGAAACCTTCAAGCACTTTTCGGATCGAATGGGCAACAAAATATTTTTTATGAAATGGTGTGAACACACAGCAGTCTTTCAGTTTTGTTTTACAGTTTGCTATGCAGTCAACAGAAAAGTACGAATGAGTAAATGCTAGTTTTCCAAAGCACGGAGGAACTCATTAACCTTCTCTTTTACATAAGAAGTGAAAATAAATTTGCTTCTACAGGTAAGAAGATGTGCTCTTACATACTTAAATACATGGACATACACCCACAAAGTAATGGATATTTTACCAGTATTAGACATAAACGTGAATCAAAATAGGCTGGCAATGTTTTATTTAACTGAAGAATTACAAGCAGTATAGAATCATAGAATCATAGAATGGTTTGGGTTGGAAGGGACCTCAAAGATCATCTAGTTCCAACCCCCCTGCCATGGGCAGGGACA